ACCAGTGTGCTTCCATTTAGTAAGAAAAGCCTAGGCTACTCTTCACCTGAATTAGAAAAAAAAGCTCTTCTGGTCTTCAGTGATGCAAAGACAACGTTTGAGCGTGTACACGCAATATCTGAGTGAGGGCAGAGCCAATTCATAAAAGAACAATATTTAAAAGCACACGTCCAGTTTTGTGTGAGTGAAGGAAATCCGATTTGGGAGTGGAGAGATTCGTCCTCGCGCACATGGATCACGTACTCGCTTAAAATAGTTGGGTTAAAAATGACCCAACAGATAACCCAATGGTGGGTTACTATAGCACCTACCTAATGTTGGGTTATTTTAACCCAATGGATTGGGTAGTAAGTTAGTAACCCAATGCATTGGGTTATAAAATAACTAATTTGTTGGGTTATTTGGACAAAAAAAGTTTTGCTTTAACCATCCTGGTATTATTATTATTAGTAGTAGTATTGCTATGTAAATCAATAATACACAGCATACAAATATTTTGAAAACACTTTATTTCTATTACATTTAAAGTTGCAAAAACCTCTATTAAATTAAATAACTGGTTGAAATTGTCTTATTAATCACTTCCTTATCACATTAGGTTGCTTGCAATTGTTTTGCAATTTGTTTACAAGATAAATATAAATTCACAAAGCACCTGGGGTGGCCAGCCAAATTTCAGGGGGGCCGGTGCCACCACGTAGACACGCCCCTGGTTGTAGCGTCGCACCTGATTCAGACACTCGTGACGGAGAACAGATGGCACAACACACACGCTCATATAAAGAAAACTGCTTTCCTCCAGAACAGATGCGTTTCGTCAGCTACCAGCCCTGAGTAAAATCATGACGAAAAGAAGAAACTCTCCGCTACATTTCTAAATCAACAATTATGGAAGCTTATTTCCATAAAAAGTTAGAATTCCGAGAAAAAGTTAGAATTGCGAAAAATGTCATAATTGTGAGATATAAACTCAGAATTCCAAGAGAAAAGTAAAAATTGTGAAAAAAAGTTAGAATTGTGAGATATAAACTCAGAATTCCGAGAAAAAGTCAGAATTGCGAAAAATGTCAGAATTGTGAGATATAAACTTAGAATTCTGAGAAAAAAGTCAGAATTGTGAATAAAAGTTAGAACTGTGAGATTTATATTTCTCAGAATTCCGAGAAAAAAGTCAGAATTGTGAAAAAAGTTAGAATTGTGAAATATAAACTCAGAATTCCGATAAAAATGTAAGAATTGTGAAAAAAAGTTACAATTGTGAGATAAAAACTCAGAATTCCAAGAAAAAAGTCAGAATTGTGAAAAAAAAGTTAGAATTGTGAGATATATATTTCTCAGAATTCCGAGAAAAAAGTCAGAATTGTGAAAAAAAAGTTAGAATTGTGAAAAAAAAGTTAGAAAAGTTAGAATTGCCAGAATTGTGAGATAAATAGACTACCTTTTTTTAAATTCTGTGGTAAAAACGAAAAGAACGAAAAGAAAAAACTCAAAAAAAAAAGTCAGAATTGCAAAATATAGGCCTAAACTTCGAATTCTGAGAAAAAGGAATTGCGTGATGCAAACCTGCAATTACGAGATTATAACTTGCTAATAAATTGCTTCATAATTTGCTAGATATAAACTTGCAATTGTGAGCAAGAAGTCGTAATTGTGAGATAAAGTTGCAATTAGCTTTTTTTATTTTTGTATTCTGTGGCAGAAACAAGCTTCCATAGTCACTGGTCTGGCCACAAGCAGCGGTCGACAAATGGCACGAGTTTCAAACGAAGGCCGAACGCGTTGAAGGCATCAAACGACACACAGTGTGAGCTGTGCCAAAGAACATGGTCCATCAACCACTAAAACAACAAACGCTGCTACACTTCAGTCTGTTAGACGCTATATATGTTCATCAGCTGCAATCAATCCATCAGTTTAACATTAAAAAGAGTCTTACTCAAACCACATGTGGTTACAAACGTCACGGCACTAACGACTAACACTACAGTAGTAACTAGCATTATATTCTATGTGGATACGATCACACACACAATAACCAGCACACTCCAGTAACACAATATTGGCATTCGTGGAAATACCACTTATTTAAAAAAATAAGACTTCATATGCTGCTTTAGGAAACATCTACCATCAGGCTGAGAAAGGAAAACCCAGTTTAACTAGTTTATGATGGCTGCACATTGCTGGTCATCCGCTAGTCTAGATGGTTTATCAGTTGAACTGTTAGCTCAAATTTGGTCGACCATCTTGGTTAAGCGGGTTTTAGGGCAGGTTGACCACTTTGGACCAATAACAAACCAGCTACCATGTTCCAAAATACGTCATGTTGACGTGTGTGTGCTCTATGTTCAACAAGCTTATTGCATTTTCATATTTCACTGGGAATTACGAACAATAAGTAGTTCTTAAACAAGCACACAAAGAGAAAGTTTCCCAACCACACAGTAAAAACTCAGAATTCCAAGAAAAAAGTCAGAATTGTGAAAAAAAGTTAGAATTGTGAGATTTATATTTCTCAGAATTCCGAGAAAAAAGTCAGAATTGTGAAAAAAAAAGTTAGAATTGTGAGATTTATATTTCTCAGAATTCCTAGAAAAAAGTCAGAATTGTGAAAAAAAAGTTAGAATTGTGAAAAAAAAGTTAGAATTGTGAAAAATGCCAGAATTGTGAGATAAATAGACTACCTTTTTTTAAATTCTGTGGTAAAAACGAAAAGAAAATGAGATGTAAACTCAAAAAAAAAAGTCAGAATTGCAAAATATAGGCCTAAACTTCGAATTCTGAGAAAAAGGAATTGCGTGATGCAAACCTGCAATTACGAGATTATAACTTGCTAATAAATTGCTTCATAATTTGCTAGATATAAACTTGCAATTGTGAGCAAGAAGTCGTAATTGTGAGATAAAGTTGCAATTAGCTTTTTTTATTTTTGTATTCTGTGGCAGAAACAAGCTTCCATAGTCACTGGTCTGGCCGCAAGCAGCGGTCGACAAATGGCACGAGTTTCAAACGAAGGCCGAACGCGTTGAAGGCATCAAACGACACACAGTGTGAGCTGTGCCAAAGAACATGGTACATCAACCACTAAAACAACAAACGCTGCTACACTTCAGTCTGTTAGACGCTATATATGTTCATCAGCTGCAATCAATCCATCAGTTTAACATTAAAAAGAGTCTTACTCAAACCACATGTGGTTACAAATGTCACGGCACTAACGACTAACACTACAGTAGTAACTAGCATTATATTCTATGTGGATACGATCACACACACAATAACCAGCACACTCCAGTAACACAATATTGGCATTCGTGGAAATACCACTTATTTAAAAAAATAAGACTTCATATGCTGCTTTAGGAAACATCTACCATCAGGCTGAGAAAGGAAAACCCAGTTTAACTAGTTTATGATGGCTGCACATTGCTGGTCATCCGCTAGTCTAGATGATTTATCAGTTGAACTGTTAGCTCAAATTTGGTCGACCATCTTGGTTAAGCGGGTTTTAGGGCAGGTTGACCACTTTGGACCAATAACAAACCAGCTACCATGTTCCAAAATACGTCATGTTGACGTGTGTGTGCTCTATGTTCAACAAGCTTATTGCATTTTCATATTTCACTGGGAATTACGAACAATAAGTAGTTCTTAAACAAGCACACAAAGAGAAAGTTTCCCAACCACACAGCAAAAATTATTTTCTTACTTAGTATTTTTTTTGGGTAACACTACAATATTACATTTTGAACACAAGAACTAAAAATGAAAAATAATTCTTAAGCACATATTAATCTTAGGTAATGTTAATTTCAACAATTACTAATACAAAGTGGCATCTGTTAATATTATTTAAGGAACCTGAGCTAATGGATAGTTGTATTTTTATTAACAAAGATTAATAAAGGCTGTAACAAATTGCTCATTGTTAGTTAATGTTATTGTATAGTTAAGTTAACTAATGACTTCATTGTAAAGTGTTACTCTATTTTGGTCGTTTTCCATTATAAATACCTAAAAAAGATATACTTACTTAAGAAACAAAATGTCTTAAAATACGAAGTCTTGTTTAATGAAAAATTGATTGAAAAAATTAGTTTTTGCTTAAAAAAGGAAAAAATATCTGTCAGTGGGGTCAGAAAAATAAATTTCATTCAAAGGGAAAATTTTTCAGATGCCATTGTCAGATATTGTTTATTGTTTTAAGCATAAACTCACATCATTTTGATAAATTTTTCAGAAAACAAGACTTTAAGTATGTTTTTAAGTAATTTATTTATCTTGATTTAAGAATATTTAGATATTCGTACTGGAAACAATACAAAAATACTGAGGAAAAAAACACTTTTGCAGCACAGGAGCAACATTTCTGTTCTGAGCCAAAGCCAAAATGCATCAGCAAGCAATAAAATTAACCAATCACAACAGCATCTTGTTGTTCGCTGCTTAGCAAGGAGAAAAAGATTTAACGTGTGTGACGAAGAGAGAGCAGCGGCGCAATCAAACACACATCTGGAGATCCAGAACTTTCCTATAAGCATGCTGGGATAGAGCTGGACTAAGTGAGGTTTATCAGAAGAGTGAAGCGCTCGTTCCCTTACGTCAATCAAGTACAAATAAATCATCTGAAACACAAGAAAAACAATATAAACGAAGAGTCCAGGATCGCAAACACTCACACACACTGAGCACTTGAACTGTTTCTCCACTCAGACGGGACTCCGTAATGTCTATAATCCTCCTCAACATCATCATAATCCTCCGAGTCACTGATCGACAGGAACAGGAAGTGAAGCTGTAGCACAGATGCACGATAAAGGCAGCTGTTGGGTTGCTAGGCAACAGCGGGGGTGGGCGGAGCCTAGTGAGGCAGAGGCACTAGTATGTCCACATAGTTGATGGGGAAGAACCCTGATTGGCCGTGGATCATGCCCTCGTACCAGTTGTCGTCGATCAGATTGGTCAGAGTGATGATGTCTCCCTCCTTGAAGCCGAGCTCGCCCTCGTTCTCCGGCTTGAAGTCGTACAGCGCGCGACAGCACGGCTGATCCAACGGAGCTGAGCGACAGAACGAAAGCTCTTTAAAAAGTAGTTAGTGGAATGTTAAGATATTATCATAACAGAAGCAAGAAATACAGTATATTTAAACAAAATAAAAAGTTATGTTAGTGAAAACACTTTAATTTAATAAAATTTTTTACAGAATGTACATTTGCAAAGAACAAAATCAATATGAAAACAATCAAATAAAAGCTAAACAAAATACAGAATAGTAAAACACTGGTTATTTTTTAGATTTTGGGCTGTTTGGCATTTCATAAAGTGTTGTTTCAGACTGGTAGAAAGAAAAAATCCAAAATGCACATCTAAGTGTTTATTTTATTGTATTTCTCTGTTTGCGTCTGTAGATTTCAATTACAATCCATATCTTCAAAAGTTTTTTCTCCACTTCAGCAGCACTTACACACACCAAAACTTACAGTTTTATTCCTCTCTATAATTTGAAGGTTTTTACTGAAGGGTTTGTTCATATTTCATTCACACTGAATTATACAACATTTTATTCCTAGAAATGTGGCGAAAATGCATATCTTTAAAGGCTGTGAGTTTTTTCTCCACTTCAGCAGCACTTGCACACACCAAAACTTACAGTTTTATTCCTCTCTACAATCTGAAGGTTTTTATAGAGGGGTTTGTTCATATTTCATTCACACTGATTTATATAACATTTTATTCCTAAAAACGTGCTGAAAATTTATTAATTTTCTGTCTGTTGACAGTATTTTCTGATTTATGGAGTGATAAGAAGATAAATTCAAAATCACCTCTATAAAAACATTTAACTCTAATATGACAACAAAATCAAACAAGAATTTTGAACCTGACTCCGGATTTCTGTTCTGGACATTGCTCTGAAAGTGATTCTAACAATATTGTTATTATGTGTTGTTATCATTATAGTTGCACATTAAAAAAAATGCTGTAGGATTTACTTTGAAACAATTTTCACACAGAAATTGCTAGTAAATTTCACAGATAATTACAAAAAAAATAGCAAGTAACATTGAATTTAACTTAAAATTTAAGTAGAAAAACTGAAACAGTATTTTCTTGTAAATCATAACTTTGAAAAATAATTTTTACAGTGTAATGTAGACTTAACTATTCTGATAGAATTTGAGTGATTATTAAAACTTTATAGTTATTTGTACTTTTTTACGTGTGTGTGTGTGTGTGTGTGTGTGAGAGAGTGTGTGTGTGTGT